ATATGGCTTCGTTTAGTTTAGTTTCTGTCAGGCATACATACTGTTTCGAAAATCCGGTCCATAAAGGCTTATTACTCCATATTATATAATTCAAAATTTAGACTTAATGGTAACGGAGATGGGACTAATGTCAATGAAGATCGTGCTATTGCCTATTGACTCACTCAGACTCATTTTTCTGGTAGAAGCCAACATTTCGTAAAATTTTGAATGAAATAACATCAATCCTGCTAATTATCCCTTTAGAGTATTATTATAAAAACGAAAAAATTAAAAAACATGTGATGATGGGAGCCATCTCTTCTCGTCATTCTCATAGCTGCAAAAGTTCCTAATTAGAATATATAATAGAGCTCGATAATAATTTGCTTTCTTAGTTTTTCGAAGAAAACTGTTCCCATCGCTGATTAAGGGAGAACTATTTTGTTGAGTGATGCCCCTATGCATTCTAGGACCAAATAAAGTGCCATTAATTTGCTTAAGTTAAGATCCTTTTTGGAGATTTAGTGTATTAATAGGATACCTCAAGAAACTTTTTACCATAAACTTCCATCTGATGAATTTGATATTCTTTCGACTAGAAGCAGATTTTTAACGTTAAGCAAAATATTTTTAGTCCTTCTAATTATACTTTCAATAATAAGTGCCAATTGTTAGACTTGTTGATGGATATTGGAATATTTCCCCAATCTGAACACATTTTGATTTAAACCCAATCTTTTAGATTATTATTACAATACATACATGATTTCATGAAGCAGTTTAGAAATACTCAGTGTCAGTTCACCGGAATAAACGATTTAAATTTTTCTTTCAGAACTCTTTGAAGTTTGAGAACGCATATCAACTTCAAAAATCAAGAAATCCATCATTGGTGAGTGATACATTGGTTTACGAATAGATTTGTTTCATATATTTTGGGAATACAATCACATCTCATGCAAATAATAATAATTATACCAGACATCAAATGCTTCCAGCTTGTTCCATTTCTAAATATAAAAAGCTATTGAAAACCGATCTTTTTGCGGTCTGCCTAACCAAGCATAGGAATAGATGAATAATTTTTATAGCGGAATTGAAACATTTCAAGAATCGGGCATGGTTTTGTTAAAAAAAATTATGTTTCAAATGTTTTGCTGATAAGTGCATTTGATGCTGCGAAATAGAGTCAAGTCATATCCGAAATAACGAATAACTGAAAAGTAGAAGGTAGTCTTGACGTGTCAACTCAGCGAGCCGCAGGCGTCGCTCGGCTCGTCCTGCGGCTCAAAGATGAGCAGCAAATATGGGTCGGTATTGAGTGTCGAATGACGAATATATCAGTTTGGTTGGGTTGTGTTTAATTTCACAGTCAATATCGATGCCTAATCTGTGACAAGTAGTAGACTATGATGATTAATTGATGCAGAATCTGGATAAAATTCGATTTGAAAATTCGATTTGATGAAAATTTGTTGGCTTACACATTTTTCACATAAAAAAATGACATGTTTGAAGAGTTTTTGATAACTGATTGGTGAATAGCTCCAAAAATTTTCCGCTGTTATTTCACTGTTCATTGAGACGAGTTGAATTTTAGGCCTGAAATCAAACCCGCAATATTCTTGATATTTATATTCAAGATTCATACATTTAGTAACATTTCGAGACAATTTTGGTAATCAACAAAACTGGAAAAATTAATTCACCAAACAGAATTGTAAAAATCTTTGTTGTCTTCTTGCTACTAGGCTAACGTCTTGCTTATTTTACAGTCCTTAGAATAATATTTCAGTCTGGAAACATTTTAAGGGGGTAAAAATTTTAATGAAATTCAAACGACAATAGTATCAAAATTTCAACCCATCTCTAACGATTGTGAGCTCAAGCTGCATCTGCTTCCTCTAAACACAAACTACTAAAAATTATTTTCTTATTTGTTGAAAGGTGACATTTTTTTACATTCGCATCGTCTAAATAATTTGATTGCAGGTGACGAACTGTTTTTCAAACCTTGCTTGGTTCTCGTTCATGACTTCAATAAAAACCGTCCTTGTGAAGGCGATCCTCAAGTCCTTTATTTTCATCATCTAGTTCCTTCACTAAAGCTAGTCAAACAGAACACGTATGCAGTAAGTACGAGCAGATTTTATATTTATTCATCATATATGCACAACTGTGGCAGTACGTCAACGATACGTTACCGAGCCTCGAGTCACGTACCTATTTGAACACAGAAATAGTTATCGATATATTTATATATATTTATAAACGTTTATTTGAGGATCATTTATAAACAGAGAAACTTACAATGCACATTAATTATTCACAAATATATTAAATAAGCACAAAAATACTAACTTTCACATACACCGAGTACAACGTAAAACAGAAACTACCTCGACGATTAGATTTTATTAAAGTCCCAAGCTTAACTCTACACAAAACAGTAAGCAATATCTCACGCGTGCACCTTACTTCGTACGGTCTGGAGGAGAAAATGAGGCAGAAGATTTTAAAGGTCCCCTTGATTATTATTATTGCTGAATTATTTTGCTCCAGTTTTTGTGAATGTAAATTTTGATACGGCATGTTGAAATTTCAACAATAGAACGAGAAAACCCCTGAATAAACAGCAAATTACTAGCAAATTATCTGTCTGAAGAGATCCTGTAAGGTTTTCGAAGCAGTTTTAGTTGTAATGACATCTAGTATTTGAGTCCAAATTCCGCCCAAACGATTATTATTATTATTACTAAAATGACGCGTTAAGTATTTAAATCGAATTCAGCTGAGACGAAAAAAACATGATACCTAGACGGGGGATAAAAAACTTGACATGCATACTCGACTGACTCACTGTAATAGGTCATGAATTCCATCAATAATTTTTTATCAGTAGCGCACTTACTTGAAAAATAACGCTCACGTCAAGCCACTATTCATACATTGTATGTAGAAAGTGTGTTAAAACGGAGACAAGTTTGACAATAAATCTACTATAATTGCCTACATGATGTTCCCTAAAGTTCAATTCGTGGTAATTAGGCGCCTCAGTGAGGCGTCACACTGGTCGAAATACTTAGATATCAAGTAGTTACTGACTCAACCAAGTGGCCAACTTGCCAAAATTGGAAGCTGAGATTCTCCTGCTAACAACGAACCACGCTAAACACAATTTTAATTACAATCTCCGGGTTCGACTGTTAGCAATAGGATTGCACATTTTTGGAGGTAAATTTTGAGCCTCTAACGATTTTCAAATACGTTATTTTTTTAACACAGAAAACGAATAAAATCTTAAATCCGCGATTGAGAAATTAAAAAAGTAAGCAGCCGAAGGCAATCCTCTGATGTTGAATTTTACATCGGATTGACGAGTTCGTCGATGAGAGTAATTTTGAGGAATTTTCCTCATTGATTCTCGTGTTCAAGATGTCAACTGATGCCCAATATCATAATTTTTCAAACTTATTGCAGATGAGACACAAATTTTTGCCGAAATCGTGTACACCGTACGAAATATCCGCTGCGATCATTTTCGGTCAGAGTTATATAGTTGCAGGGAAATACCGTTGAAGGTGATACATTGAAGACATTATTAAAAAATATCAATTCTCTTTGCTAGTCGTTTCGTTTACAAATTACATAAAACTGGAAGAAGTCAGGCCAAAAAAGTGAGTATCTGGCTCCTGAATGAACGTCGTAATCGATGAAATATTAGCTAAAATATTATCATCAGTTGGCATCTCAGCAGGTGCTATAGATTCAAAATTTAGATTTGTAATTCTCAACCAGAAACTGTACATAACTCTAACCGAATTTAGGATTCCAGAATTCTAAAAACGAATGAATTTCTAGCACTTGCTTAATTATTCGTGATCCGATACAAATTTTTGACGTACGCCAAGGGCGTGTAAAAGTTTTTTTTTCTGAATTTCACACTCTCTTTTGGCAGCTAATTTCTGATAATCATTGCTGAGTATTATTATAGAGCAAGTGTATCACAGATGCTAAGTGTGAGGAATCAGCACAAGTAGCGCAGTATAATATATAACGAATACAACACTAAATAAAATAAGTGTCTCGCTCCGTCATCCTACACCTGCTGAGGCAGTAAGTACTAAAAATGAGGACATCAGAAACTGCTAACGAATGGAGTAGAATACTAGAAGTTTTAGACGAGTCAGCAGCCGTGGTAGTTGTTGTAGTAATGATTTTGTGGCTAGTACTAATACTAGCAGAAGTTGTAGACGCATCAACAGCAGCACAGGGTGATTCACGGAAACTTCCTGTTTCGTATTTCGCGCCAAGCAGCCAGATGTTGTAGGCGAAAACAGGGTATATATCATATGAACGGCAAGGTCATGAAGGTTTTTGTTCCGCTTACTCAGTTGTCACTATGTATTGGATGAGTGAGCAGCGTGCGTTTTCTTTCGAGGGGTACTTTTATAATGGCCGTTCAATTACCACTACTCAACGAGCATCCCGTACCTGGAATGAGCCTCATCTCCTTGAGAGGTGACCTTCTTAGGCCGGCCCAATCACCCGATTTGTGATTTTGTGGCCGGCCCGATTTCCGTGTGATTTTATTATGGGGTTATCTTAATTCAATTGTTTACAATGTCTGCCAAAGGACCCCAACTCGTTTGAAGAACAACATACGCCAAGCCATCGTCAACATACCCGTCAGTAAGCTTCAGCGAGTTGGACGGAACTTAAAAAATCGACTAATGGAGTACTTTGATAATTGGAGATGTCATTCGCCCGTTGTCGTCTTCAAAACCAAGCGATGAAAAATTCAAGTACTGTATTTTTCAAAAAAAATATATGTTGTAATGATATATTTACCAGTTCTTTTTTTATTGAGCTTTCAATTTAGGAAGTTTTCGTGAATCACCCTGTAGTAGTAGCAATTCTAATGTTCTCGATGGTAGTACTAATACTAGCAGAAGAGAAGTGACGTCGATGAAGCAAGCACAGCAGCAGGGAGCAGCAACAGCAGGGCTGAGGAGGTGGCAGGCGCAGAGTTGATGAGGTTGCACATGTGGGTGCCAGGCTCGTACTGGATGCATTTAGTCTGTAAATAATCCATACATCAGAAAAATGTACACAAACAGAAGTGCTTTTTAACTTAGAAATAATTCCTGAAAGATCCTAGTTCTATCCATAAAATTAATAAAGTTAGAGAAATACTGAATTTCTGGTCGATTGCCGCAAGATTGTATGTATAAACAACAATTGTCATTCGTAATAATCGTTAAGGCGATATTAGTGGTCAAACATTTTATATTAGAATGATTCCATTCATTGTTTTAAATTTTGCATAAACCTGCACAAGTTAAAGCTTTTCAGCTCCACGTAAACAGGAGTGAAAAGATGGACAGGAGTCATACAGCTGGAGCACAGGAAGAAAAGCGTTAAAGGACAAAACGAACATTGTTATGTTGGGTATATTTATACTGGCAGTCTGTAAGTGTAGGTGGTATGTGAGTTTAGGAACACATATGCGATTTACACGAAATAATTTAGTTGTGTTTAGGTTGATAAATTTTTTGTAAATACATTTTCAGTACACAATTTATTCTTACATTGAAAAGATATTTATTAATTTACTGTAGTTAATTTATGAACATGTGATAAGGAATGCACTCTTCCCGCTCGTATTCATACATTTTCCTCCGTTTGAGAAGCCGGCGAATTGAAGCCAAATCCTACAAGAAGATGTGTTCAAATGCCATACTGTCATCTTCGGTCTACTCTGTTACATAGAGTATTATCGTTTATTGAAGTTAATAATCAAACTCTCAAAGTTAACAATCATACTCTCATCCATTTAGCAATTTGAAATTAAGTAGGCTAATCAAGAGTCGCTATATTCACGCCGTTGCAAGCAAAGCAGAGCCCATGGCCCAGGTCTGCTTCGTCTAAACGCTGCCTGATTCTTCAAAATATCGCTACCAATGGAGTAAATTTACTCGATATGTAGCAGCATGAAGCATGTCATCACAACATGGAGCAGCATGCAGCAAGTCATTCCAGCATAGAGCAAGCCATCTCCGCAAATTCACACCAAACTCCATGGAAAAACATGACCAGCAATGATCTGCTTCGAACACTCAGGTCATGGAAGCAATTGTCTAATTTTCATGCGATAAAGTCTGAATTAGTAATTTTATTTAAAAGTTTCACACACGTTCAACTTTCGTAATTCAAATGATTGTTGCAAAGTGCACAAAACTCATCATTAACGCAATAAAGTTATGAGTGTTCGTTAGAGTTAGTCATGAATAAGTCAATCAACCATTCCGTAGCTGACTTCAATCGCATGGGGTAAGAAAGTTTCATAAAGAAAATTTACTGTATTCTTTCACCAACACGAATGCTGCTACCAAGGAATCGAGCATTAGAAAGCAGCTACCAATCTTCTGAAATTTAGTGCTGCTAGACTTTGCGATGTCAAATTAAAAACTAAACGTAATAATTATTAATCAGCAAATACTGTAAACTTTCTTGTTACTAGTTGACAGTCATTTGAGCGAAATTTTAGAAGTGATTAGAGCGTAGTCACTCAGCGCGTAAAGTTCACGCACGGTGTTACCTGAGCGTCACACAAGCTCGGATGTTGGTCCATGGCAGGTGCGACATCATTAATGAGCAGACTGGGCTTCACTGTTAGCAATGTCAGAAAACTTGTTTCTGTTAGTTTTCATTTTATTGCCCTAATATTTTCATTTTATTTACATACATCCTCACTCGGTTTTACAGATTTAAAAAACTAAAAAAAATTGTTGCTAAGTTCGTACAAAGACCAAACCAGCCAGGAACTCGTAACTTATTGCAGTGTTATTTTTTCACTTAAACTTGGCAGGAACTTCATGTTACTACCATTATTATTCACATTATTAAGTGCATACTGATGATTAAGGTAACCATCGGCACTGGCAATAGCTTGAGATCAGCTCCATTGATCTCGTGAACAAATCCCTTGCTATTTTGCTCGTGAAGTTGATCGATAAAGAGGTCGTAATTTTTGTCTTTTCCACGAATTGCTCCAGATGTGAAGTTTTGTTCTTCGTATAATTCTCCAGGAAAATTTTCGTTGGATCCCTGAACGTGAATCCCCGAGTCTGAGCTACTAGCAACACTTTCATTTCCCCAAGATCGTTTGTAATTATCGTTAATTTTAATTTCCGATCTTGTAAGGTTGTCATTAGATAATTTTCTATGAAGAGTTTCAACCAATGAACTTTTTTTCGGAGTTTCAGGACTGAAAACTGGAGGTTCAAACGTTGGCCTAGATGAACTTGTGGATTTATTTATTGGGACAAAATTCATCGCGGTGCTTTCGTTCCTTTGAATCCTTGAAGCTTCGGATAAGTGCTGGCCAATAAAATTGTCTTCGTTTGAGTGAACAAATTGAATCTCGAAGTTTTCATCTCCACTAGAAGTATTAATCAAATGTTTTTTGTTCATAGTTATGGAGTTTGACATCAAACTTATATTTATGGAGCGCAAATCTCCTTCTAATGAGTCATCGATATTGTGTGTAGTTTTAGTATTAATCGAGGAATCAACGTTTACATGTTCACTCGAGTTTTCCAAATTTGTGGACAGTTTTTTCATTGATTTCGACTCATCGTACAGGGATATATTTTTAATAAAGTTATCAAAATTGGATGATGATTGCATCCGAAAGTTACTATCAAATAGTGAGTTTGTGACGTTCAGAATTTCACCAAATTCTACGTCTGCTGTTCTCATGTCATCCGAAATATTCCCCATAAGCCAAATATTTTCGACATCAACCCCACTGGCAGTCAATTCTCTCTCCAGCCAAGAGGAGACATTCATTTGAATAGGAGAAATGAAGTCAGTGTCGACAAAGTTGATCATCAGTGGTTGCAATGAGTCTATATTCTCTTGAGATGAAGTGTGAAACGAGGTGCCGACATGGGTTGGTATTACAGCTTCTTCGAGGTTAGTCATTAAATTCAACCTCAACAGAGCGAGATATTTTTCTTGTGCTGTCAAAGAATCATTTGATAGTATACCTATCTCATCAAATAGATTTTCATAGTCATACTCGGTGAGGTCCTCAGTCGATCCCTTGGCTTCGACTGCATCAACTTGCGCAGCTACGCCTGATTGCTGCGAAGTTCCATTCGACGAGTGAGTTGTCATATACGCGTAACGCAATGCATCACGAGCGAGCTTCCTTAAAAGTGTGTTAAAAATACTACGTTGATTTTCTTTCTTCCTCCGTGCTATATTCCTTATTCTCTTTAGTAACCTCAAACGACGCAATCTATCCAGAAGTTTATTATGAGATTCAGTTGTAGAATTAGCAGATGTCACAGCCTCAGATGGAGAATTTTTACCCGGTAAACTCACCGGCATTAAAAACTGTTTTTTAATTTGTGAACGCGTTCTTCTGAGTAATGAAGGACCAAATTCATCAAGGTTTCGCGCAGCAGCAGACTCATATAATTGAAGTCGCTGACGAGCTCGTGGTGACGGAGAAGTGTTTCCAGATTTAATTGTAAGATTCCCGCTGGGTGCCTCATTGGTTATCAGTAGCGGTGCTCCTGTTGTACGTCTTAGTTTAATCAATCGCCTGCCTTGGGGACCACGTATCCCTGCATGTCTTCCACCAAATAATCTCTCTGAATCATCAGGAGTCTGTAGGTTTTCTCGACCGACGCTCAGACTTTGTGCTGGTTTTCGAAGTCTCCGATAAACCCGAGAACCATTCCGGAAACCGATGAACTGAAAATCTGGACTCAATCTTCGCTGGCTCTTATTCACTTCAGGTCGCGGAGAATAGGGTGATAAAGATGGGGTAGGAGAACCGAAACTGTTATAAAACTGAAGGGTTCCGATGTCACCATGTTGCCGTCTAAGTAGGCTGTTTGTAGGCCTCAATTCTATATTATTTTCGTGTGCTTTAATAGACGACACCCTCCCTCTAGGCCGCCAAAACTCTACGGGTCGATTGATTTCTGTGCCGTCTAACATGCTTGATGGCGCACCAGAAGCCTGCATGGCATGGTCTAGCTGGGAAGATGCAGTACAGTCGCTGGCTTGAAAATTCACTATTGTGCAAATATCCTGCGCAAGAGAAGCATAAGCCGTGTAACATGAAGCCTGGATGGGACAGAACAGAAATACGGAAACAGCAAAGCTAATATTTTTAGGTATTAGCATCTATACAAAATAATTAAACACCGTTACGAATAACAAAAGATCATTAACAGAGACAAATGACTATAGTTCTAATAAAAGGAAACGTGATTAATGATATCAAACTATATTGAAAATTAATCAGAATCTTGAAATAGATAATTGTGGTGGACATGGTGCGAAATAGTGGCTAGCAGACAAGTATAATGGCTGACATTACCGCGGACTGATGTACGAAAATGATAATAAACCTCCAGTTTCCAATATTTTTTAAGCGAAAGGAGCCAGACAGACACTTATATACTGTATAAGCCTCAAGAAGAGAAGAGCATGCACGTCTTGTTTCCTTGAGTGTTGCATAAACTGGTAGACGTTCTAATAAAGTGGACGACCCAAGAAGTGTAGAAGATATTCTGCTTCTTTTCTAGTGCTCATAGTCTCGACTGACCAAGATCAACATCTTAGTGACGTATATATATATATTTATTTGTATTTCCAGCCTTACCAATTTCTCAGTATTTTGATGAATAAACCGGAATTTTTGAAGATCATAAACTGCAGTAAAAAGACAATATAAATGAGCAGTAATTTGTTGATAAGCATGCACTCTTCCTTGAAATGATTTGGAAATTTAAGATATAGGGACAAATATTTCAGGTACCTTACCTTGTCATCCTAATGGCAGCAAGAATAAATCAAACAAACGTGAATGTTAATCTTGTGGCACCTGACTTACACGGTATTTTAGGATTTTATTGGTACTAAAATTTTGGGACTAACTTTGTTGTGCTGTGTACGTGTGAGTATGGAACTGACATTTGGTTCGAACTCGAATAATTGCTCTCTTTTTTTTGCTAGACATGCCTTGCATTAGCCGTAAGAAAAATTTGTATTCCTAAATATGATCAGTCAATACATGGAAAAGGAAGCATTTATAACGTATTCAAAAATCAGGTAACTTACTCAACTATTTACTAAAAACCCCCGAATCAAAAACCATAAGAGATGAATAATTCATAATGAATTTGTTCGGTAAGACGCATTACAATATGTTTCGTGCACCTGTACGATGGGACCAGCCATTCTGTTGAGGAAGTTCTTGGTGAAGAGCGCCGTCTCGTTACCGCACGACTCGAACACCACTTGCTCCGCGCACTGCAGGTACTCTTGGAACGAGCTTTTGGGCAAGATATGAGTTATAATGTCATTTTATGGGTTAATGTTTGAAATTTGTATGGGTTAATATTTGAAATTAGTTTCAAGACTTGTGGTGGTAGAAGCGCATCTTAGCCTAATCTCTGTCAACATGGATGTTGGTTAGCCAACAATTATTATCTGCTATATAACAGGCGCCGGACTGATCAGCTAGTCTACATAGGGAAGGTGGTTGACAAAGCATAGGCACTTTTAATGTTTACGGGACTATTCCAGTGAGCATCCAAATACAAGTGTTGAAATCACTTGGCTGCTTAAGTCGCAAATTTACCAGGAATTTAAAAGCAAAGAAAATAGTCAAAAATTTCACCATTTCTTATAAGAGAAAACGTTTCGGAGTCCAGCTCCATCGTCAGTTCAAAACCTAGAACACAGGTACAAGCAATTAGTAACCTAAAATTCACATTCAAAGAATTCACCTAAACTTGAGGACATTAGAACTAAAATCGAAGATAACAGAAATAAAAATGAGATGACATGTAGAGAAAGTACTATCTATTTACAATTTGCAGAGGATAGGAACTGAATGCAGCATTTAAACTGGGTTTCTGTTTAAAAATATGTAATGATTCTAAAATTCGTAGGTCAGAAACACCGGTTGTGGAGGCTAAAACTCTAAAATCACTATTGGACACCGGGACGTTGCACTGCTCGGCATGAATACGTACGGCTGAATGAGGGGGATGCGCAAGTATGTTCCCTGTTCTATAACTCCTGCCCCTATGCTCTGCAAGCCTAGTATAAAAATTGCGCGATGTCATACCGACATACGCAGATGCGCACTGCGCACAACTATATTGATAAACTATATTGATCGCATAAGAACAGGGAGAGGATCTTTGTACTTGAAAAACGAGCTAATTTTAAAATTGTTCACTAGCAATACATTAAGATTTACATTTGGGAGGTATTTAGAGAATAGATCTTTCAACTCCTTTGCCATCATCTCAGATGCGGGGCCAAAGTAAGGAAAAGAACAATAAACACGATTCCTATCGTCACGTTCGGGAACCACCTCAGCATATTGTTTAGACAAGAATTTCTTAATTTGAGTATACACAAATTGTGAAGGAAACCCATTCAGTGAGAACATACTGCGCAAATATTCAAATTCAGTGTGCATATTATGGAAAGCAGAGCAAATTCGGAAACCGCGGTTTAATAATGTTTGAATCCCATTTAATTTGAAACGAAAAGAACAGAAACAAAAAAGCTGGTGCTTAAGCCGGTAAACGTTGATTTTCTGTACACAGATGTATGGAAACAGCCACCGGATTTTATGACCTTGCAATCAAGAAAGCATAAACTATTGTTGGATTCAAGCTCCATAGTAAATTAGATGGATTTGTGTTGCCGATTAAGATAATCAAAAAAACGGTCCACATGAGAGGGATGTTTGAAAAGTAAAAATGTATCATCTACATATCGGTTGTAGAAAATTGGCTTAAAATCAATAGGACAATTTTCCAGCCATGTAGCCTCGTGGTAACACATGAAAATATTAGCAAAGGTAGGGCCGAGAGGAAGACCCATGCCTAGACCGTCAATTTGCCAATAAAATTTGCCAGCAAATACAAAAACAGAGTCCAAAACTGATAATTCGAGAAGAGATTTTAAAAAGTTGCGGTTCAGACCCATGACAAGTTCATTGACACCTTTAAACAAAGAATTGAGGCAAATATCAATAGTTTTAGAAAGAGGTATGTTAGTGAACAAATTTTCTACATCAAATGAAGCCATAGTCAAGCCCTGAACATTATTGAAACTCTTCAAACGGTCCACAAACATGTAAGTATTGTCTACCGTATATTGATTGGTGGTAAGACAGCTCAAAATTGGAACCGGAAATTTTGCAAGTTTGAAGCTAGGAGTATTGTAAGCAGCAAAAATTGGGCGAAATTGAAAATTTGAAGCGAAATCTGGTTTATGAATTTTTAGCAAGCCATACAAAATACCAGGACATGAGCCAGAAGCATAAAGTTTAAAGTAAGTTTCAGGTGACAATGCCGCGGAATCTTTAAGTTTTCGAGGAAATTATTAATTTTGTCCTCGATCTTTAAAATAGTTTTGACAATTGGATCTGTAATTTCAATAAATTTAGAAGGGTCCGTAATTAGAGTAGTGAGGCTACTATTATAACGATGACGATCAACCAATACTACTCCCTTGCCCTTATCAGGCTTACAAACGATTAAGTCTTTATTTTTAGCTAGATCCTTCAATAAAAGGATGTCACGGGGCTGGAAAACAGTTGAGAAAACTTTATATGACTTGAAGCCGTAAAAGTGACGGTAAGCCAAGCTCTGCAAATTGCCAAGAAATTCGGGACGGTTGGTAATAGTTCTAATTCGATTTTAGTTCTAATGTCCTCAAGTTTAGATGAATTGTTTGAATGTGAATTTTAGGTTACTAATTGCTTGTACCTGTGTTCTAGGTTTTGAACTGACGATGGAGCTGGACTCCGAAACGTTTTCTCGTATAAGAAATGGTGAAATTTTTTACTATTTTCTTTGCTTTTAAAATCCTGGCATCCAAATACTTTTTGTGCGTACTTGGATCTGAAATTTCTCACTTTAATTTCATTTCAGTCAGTAATTATTTTATTAAATATATTGATATACAAATAAAATATTTAACGGGTTGAAGACGTTTGGTTAAAAAAATCAACATTTAAATTATAAATTTATATATGTGAAATATAATAATGATATTTATTTTTTAAAAGGGAAGTCAAATGAGAGTTATTTGCTTACTATTGGTTTGAACATGTTATTTTAATAACCATTACACAAATTTAAACATTACTTAATCGGGATTCTCAAATCTTATTCAATATCTTTGTTAGGAAGAACAATTTGTATCAGTACTTGCTCCATATTTCATTACTGAGATGAACGAGAGTTCGACGCTTGAACGGGTCTTCCTTGAATCTACAGATTTATTATTCCTTATTATTGATATGTTCCGACTTGATGTTTAATGATGACGGGATTTGGGTTAGCGGAATTCTCAAATCTTTGGAATAATCTTTTCCTGGCATCGATACTTTCCCTTCATCATCGATACTAATATTTTAGAGTGAGTGAGTATATTACAGTGTTAGTGCGTTTGTGTTGGAAGCCCCGGCGTTGGAAATTTATAGTGGACATTCAATTGCGTACCCAAGATACCTATCTTGTCGAGATATTGATTGAACAATAAAATTTCGATATGCAATTAATTACGTTAGGATTATTCGAAATTAAATTCGAATACTGAAAAATTCAAGTTTCCGACCAATTTTTCAAACGGGAGCGCAAATAGAGTTATGTGTAAAATGCTGATGTGATTTCATTTTATATTTATCATTACTTAGGTTTCACTCTGTATGGTTTTTCACTGGTATTCTTCAGGCTTAAAAGGGGCTCAACTCTATCTTCACTCTGGCTCAACTCGGGCTTCCCTCATTCATAACTCAAGCTGCAGTCTAACTTCATGCTGGTTAAAATCTGGCTTAATTTTGTCTATTCTAGCCTAACTCTGGCTCTACTCTGGCTCCACACTGGCTCTACTCTGGCTCCACTCTGGCACCACTCTGCCTCCACTCTGGCTCCACTCTGGCTCCACTCTGGCTTCACACTGGCTCAGCTCTGGCAAAATTCTAGCTCATTATATCTAATTCAAGTGTTTTAATATAGCGTGCAGTGCCGAATCAACCTGCTGTTACTCTAGAAACAAAACACCAAGTATAGGTTCCACCTCTCACTCGCTGATTCCAGCATAACTGTTTCGAAGTTACTTTTGAACTCTAAACTATACAAACTGTCTAATTGTTTTGCCCGAAAAAGTCTCCCTAATTTCTCACATTAAAAATAGAAAGCTAAGGCTTGAAAATCTAATACTGCTAGAAAAACAGTAAATCTTACAAGGAAATTGTCTCTATACATGGTGCTGACACAGCAGTGATGACTCACCAACAGAGGGTGATGACATTCCTGGCCTTGTCGCGCTCGCTGAGCCTCACCACAGCCTGGTTAAGCCCGGCCGTCTTGCGGTGGTAGACTTCAGAGCAGCGGTTGTACTTGGGGTTCACTTGTCGCATGCACGGGGCATGCCTGATGTATTCTGCACAAACCCATTCAAATAAATCTCCACGCAGCTCGGCGAATTGTATCCTCATGACAGCTAAGCGAATAAAATCACAAAAAGCAGCGATCACTATGCCAAAAATAAATTTACCGCAAACTAGATACAATGTAAGCGTTACCAAAGATTTAGGTTCACCCCACCTTGCTGGTAGCGGCCTCCCCGAGAGGTGCAGAGGTCCCGGATGACAAGCATCGTGCCGTTGTACAGCTTGTTGAAGTAACTTCTGTGCTGCGGAGACAGGCAGCGCAGTGTGTAGTTGTCGATACACTGCAGCCCTGAGAGCAGCACTGGACACATATTGTTCAGCTCTTCCCGCGAAGCAGCGAAGCCGATGTCCTTATTCGTGAGAGCTTCGAGCAATTCCACGCACTCCGCGATGTCGCGATTACCGCAGTCACCGGTGCTGCTGTCGCCCAGCGGGGCAATGCGCGGGAACTGCGTCGTGACGTCGGCGAACTGCCGCAGAAGTGGTGGCTCTCTAGCAATAGATTGGCTCGTCGTAATATCTGCAGATAAAATAATATAACTTTTATGGGCACATAATTTATTATTTTGTTTTACATTACATTTCTATCATAATGACGAAAATAACACCGATCTTAAGTAACATTTGGCGACATACTCAATTCAGGCAACATGAATTGCAGCGGAACAAGATTCTATCCTATACATTGATTCATTTAATTTAATTTCTTGGTGAGATCTTACTGAACACGAAAAGAAGATAGAAAGTTTCGCATTCCAATGTAATTGTTGTCAGGCAACAATGTTGATACCATTTGTCCCTTTATATTTCCTGATTGATTTCTTCCTTGTTGAAAGATAAGCTCCTTCAATGCGATATGTTCATGAGCATTTCCTTGTATTAGCCTTTCCTGTTTATCAAATCACGCCCTTGGTGACGTCAATTAGCGTAGCTATATGAGCTCTGCCCAAACCAGGAAACTCAGTCTTGGGAGAGGACCGCTACGGTATACCCCATTGCTCCTGTCCATGTCAAACAGGACAGTAACTCTAAATTAATGTCAGAGTAGAAGATACACTCTAGACTTATCCCTACTTCAACTGGACGCCGAAGACATCAGTGTTAAAGCTCCAACTTATAAACTTATTAACTGATTATCCTAAGCTGTAAGCCGAACTATAATCCTAAAAGTATATTATATATTCGTTTACGCTGTCCCTCTATATCCTCGGATCCAGCTACAACCGAACCACCCTCAGGTCATACTTAATTACAATTCATATAAGGGTTGCATAGAAAAGCAACCTGTTACATTTTGGACATTCCTATATATTAGAAATGACATTGATTTTGCCATCGTGCATTTTTCAAAATTAGGCAATGTCAAACATATGTTTGACATATTTATCTGGCATATACGTATACAAATCCATTTTCGGAATAGATGAAACTAATTAAATCCTTTTTAATATAGCATCGCGAATTATTATTAAACTGAAATATCTATTACATAATGGACTAAATATTGCACAGATTCGGTAGGACACTTTAGAGAGTAAGGTGTACATATATTAAACATCATAATTTTGATAGAGCTGTTATGTATCTCTTTAAGAAAATTAAATAAATGGTAAAAATTCGAAATGATATCATTCTTGCTTTATCTACACGCGGCAAATATTCCAGTTGTCTCTGTCTGGGGGAGCTCAGCAGTTGTGCAACCCCACCACAAAACAGAATGCCTGTCAGAACCTAATTGATCTTCATTTATATTGATTTTTGGTTATTTTGACCCATCATGATCATTTTATTTACGTAGAAATGTATTGCCTATTTAGAAACTCATTTATCGTATAAATACTGTTTGAACTTCATCTTTTTAGCTACAAGTGATGTAGTTGTTGACTTGAATAAATTCTTCTTTCTCATCAGATTGTATGCAATATTAACACCACCACCACGCGATATTTTTCTAAATTGTTCACAAAGTAAAATTAAGTAGAGCACTTTTTTCATCCTAGTTTACAATAATTTTGCGTATCTATGTTAAATTTGTGAGATTGAGCAAATACTATTATTATGAAACTGTTGCAGCAATGTCAAAAAGGAGGTGAGATGATTTCCATAATTATGGAACTGAAATACGAAAATCAAAAATATAAATGAAGATGATCGAACAGTTCCAAAAAATTTCAGCGCAGTGAATATCACCCTAAGTTTTCATAAACATCGCGGTCTCGTAATTTCATAATCTCATGTTTAAAAAACACATGCGGTTAATCGAATCTCGAGTTTTCGTTTTTTTCTTTCTTAAAGTTATGACAATAATGATAATTCAGTGTGCACAAAGACAAAAGACCCCAATTCAGTGCATTTACTTAGTATTTGCTAAATAATAATTTTAAATCAACTGAAAAGGTGTTCTTTGTTGTTTAAAGTTGCTCTTCTTATAATCGTTACGAAACAGATCGCAGACGTATTGTGATGGACATTTCAATGTTTTATGTATCATATGCCATTTGCATCAAATAATTTATCCATCTTTAAAGGAACGGATTAACATATTTTCATCTTTAAATTTCTTTCGCAGTTCATTAATGAATTTCTATCCACCTCTACATCCTCGAGTTCTGCCGCGCACTATCTTCAAGTTTGCTGTTCGTTCCTTAAGCAGGAAATCAATGCAATGAAAATCGAGGAGCAGACTTGGCCCCTGCGGTGCATCCGAGTTCTTATTTGAATCCATTAGAGTTGTCTGAGATAATCGGGTGCTTTGCGGCGAATAATTCTCCGAGGTCTTGTTTTAAGACAGAGGTCGAGGAGCCTCGAGGGCGAATTGAACTTTGGTTTGGAACGTAGACTTGGCAGCTCCTGAGGTACGCCGCCGGCTTCTTGTAGTTTGGCCTGATATGACTTGCCGCTCTGAAACTGCGGTATACATCGGTATATACAATAATGTATGTTATACACTGATGAAGAAAGACAACGTTTCGTTCCGTTCTATAATATCTGTACACTGGAAATACTGTTTAAACTACCAGCATAGAAAACTCAATGTTCTGCACAATATGAGATCTTGTGTGAACTCGCTCTATTAATGCATCGAGCGAGTGGTTGTCAAACTCGCGTTCGATGTCTTGTTGTAATTGTCATTTGCCACCATTTACTCAAAACTTTCCAAGCACGTGAATGCATTTTTTTATTCTCATCCTGATATAATTTTTTTTCATGCACGCGTTAGCGGTAAAATTAAGACATGTCATTTTAGGCATTAAAATCAAGGGACTAACTCCATTCGTAAACAGCTATGAAGTTCCGCAGCTAATTTATGTCATGTTAATATGCAAAAATTAATAGTTTCGGATGCTGCTGTTTTGCATATATCCTCAGACAAAGCTTATTTATCAACTACATTGAACTAGTATAAACAGAAATAACTATATTTTCTTTCCGTTTTTACAGGTCCGTGCAATATTTTTCAAGTATTAAAATAATTTTAAGCGCTCGACTCCGTAATACAGTATTAATAAAACGGAGGGTTCATAAAATGTTTCATCAAACCAGTAAAATTCATTTTCTTACATCTTCTATATTTTCGACATTTGTATAGACAATATTGGAACACAGAGATGATAAAAACCATCGACTGAGCGTATAACAAACTAAGATTTGTTCGCAAAAGAATTTTGTCGATGATTCGAATGCATCGGAAAAACGAACTTGGTTAGCATTGGACGGGTAGCGGCTACGCGTCTTCGTTGTGTCAACATTCGACCTCGTGAGTGTTGACGCGAGCCACCACAAATTAAAAGTACAAACTCAACAAAAATATGTCAGATATCTGCCCCCTTCCACGCAAGTATTTGTTCAACGCGGCATCCAGTCGAACCGAAGAAATGACGGAGAAGACACGGACACTTTCATCAGGCTGAATTCTACAGAAAATTATTTTTTCTAGTCTTCAAGTTAACCTAGAGCCTATTTATCGAGTTCCCTTGCAAGAACATTAGAGCCCTTCCTAGATAAACGAGAAAATTATAAGAAATATATAACACAAATGACGATTTTTTTGTAAAACTCTTATCGTAAAAATGGGAAGACTCACGATATGTGGCTCGCGCTACACCAAATCTGGTTACGTAAGAAAAAAGAATGATTCTGTTTATGAATGCAGCAATGTCACATTTCTTTTATGGTTAGCAATATAATAGAAGACACAAAACTTCTATGGTAGCAGGTTGGAGACCCGGCACATCCGTGAAGCAATACCGACACTGTTTACAAGAAGCTAGGAAATTTCTTATTATCAGTAATGAGAAGAAATGCTCGAGCGGCAGATATTGCATGTATCCTTGAGGGAGCGCTCTGGATCGGCCTATCGCAGCAGTGCGGCATGTTGAAGACTCATATGCTGAAATAGCATTTCAAATTTCCTAAAATCACCACATTTGTCAAGAAAAATTACATTTATTTCCATTTTGGCAGCGTATTTGTTGATGAAGTTTTTTGTGACCCGCCTTGCTTCTATTTTATACTTCACTCCTGAGATTACGAAAATGATAACGTAGTGTGATAGGATATTTCCCTAAATCTTAGTTCTAAAAATAATGATTGACTTTTCAGGTAAAAAAAATAAAAGATTCATTTTTCTTCTCAAGCCGTCGCTAGTGCAATTTTGGGAATGATATGAATGCGAACCTTTAACTCTACGGATTTAACATCAAACATTTAAGTCACTCGTCAACCGCCAACACACTGTAATCAAAGCTCATATGTCCCATTGTTTCCCTCACAATATAGAAATTCCCTTTAATTACCAATAAAAGTTTTGCTAAGATACTAGCCTGCAAGATGGTGAACCAGGCATTGAATTACATTTTTATAAAACATTCACTAATTTCTCTGGGCTTGATTTTCAGTTCCTAGGTCCGTCGTTCTTTTTTCACGTAAATTCGCTTTGGAGTTTGCGGTGGGAAGCTTCCGAAAGCAAAACTTTCTTCAGAGAGTCGCTGCCGACGATCGGATGACTTCTCAAAGCCAGATTTAAATGCTAACTAAAAAAGTGGAGCTCTTGAATAAAGTTCGTTGACTAATTAGGCGCAGACCAGCAGCCGCGGGGACAGTCGAGCGCTGCGGAGCTTCGTTGACGCTTACCGCCATTGAAATGCGAGTGAGAAACAAATTCTGATGGTACCGTCAAAATTATATAAGTAAAAAACGACACGGTCCAACAAATTTCAACAAAAACTCTAAAGGTAAAAGTCAAACAAGTACTGTACAAACTCGCAGTAGGCAACACTTTCTTATGTTTACAATGAAGCAAGTGAGTTAGGTAACGACATTTCAAACACCTCTATTATAGTAGCAGATAACGAAATCAAAATTCAATTGTAAATCGAATTAAGGTAATAACACGAACGATTGGATGATAGTAGGAAGTTCTTTATTAAAAATTAGGATTATTAATCATCTGAGACAGCATTAGGACCAATGTTGTGACGATAAAGCCACTTGGCTAGCATTAGAAGCAATCTTGTGACG